AGAAATTAATCATTTAATAAAATATTGACAATTAAAAAATAACAAAATAATAAAATTTTCCATACATCTTTTAATAATTCTTGGACTTAAGAACAGTTGTGGCCAGCAAGATAGCTCAACAGACTAAGTACCTACTTGGGCAAGCTCAGGGACTGGGGTTCAATCCACAGCTCCACAGGCCGTGTAGGCCACACCCCTGGGTATGTTGAGCAAGCCACCGAGACCAGGCATGGTGGCGTATCCTTATAATCCCAGTGCAGGGGAGGCTGAAGCAGGAGGATCACTAGGAGTCTGAGCTGCGTAGTGAGACCCTTTAGCAAATACATTAAAAAAAAAAAAAAGTACTTGCAAGGTATTTTAAAGTGAACAATAATGAAAGCACGATGATGATGATGATGATGATGATGATGATGATGATGATGATGAGTGTGTGCATATTAAAAAAAAACAGATTTTGCTACATTTATTAGAAAATGGGAAGGGCTGGCAAATAGCTCAGCAGATTAAAGCACCTGCGAGCAGGCACAAGAGCCTGGGGTTTGACCCCCGGGCCTGCTGTGCCAGGCTCCTCTGGGGCGTGCTGAGACAGCAATTGAGACTGGGCATGGTGGTGCGCGCCTGTCATCCCAGGTCTTGGGAGGCTGTAAACAGGCGGATCACTACAAGTCTGATCTAGTAGTGAGAACCTGAGCACCCTGTAGACCCTTCCCTAGAATACAATTAATTAATTAATTAATTAATTAATTAAAAAAAAAGAAAATGGGAAAGGCTGAAAATTATTGAGTTATGTTTTCACAATGAGAAGCTAGAAATGGAAAATCAGAATCAACCCAAGAAAGAAATTAATGAACATGAAAACATAAATCAAGATTAAAAGTGAAGAACAGCAACAAAAGTGTATAGTTGGTGAACAGTAAAGGCCTGTGAACGACATTCAAAGTGTCAAAACATAAGACTTGACTTTACATCCCTAGAGAGATAACTCAAAATAGTAAACATTTAAGATCATTCTGAAATAATAATTTCCTCAAAAAATAATAATGATAACGAGAAAAAAATAGAAGCACTATACAAGCCAGTCTTCATCAAATAAACTGAAAAGGCATTCAAAGATCTGTACCTGAAAACAGCACCTGTTTTAGAAGCATCTGTGGCAGACTCTGGATATTTGCAATTCATGTAAGCAGTGGCAGAGGGAAGAAAAGGAAAGGAAACTGTCTTCAACTCATGGATAAAATTATGACTGCAGAAGCTTAAAAGCCTATAGGTGATATATTTGCATATCAAATTCTGTATGTGTCAGAAAAGTAAGTCATCATGACCAACTAGAATTTGTCTCAACAATGAGATTGGTTCAAGAGTAGGAAATCCATTATCATACTTTTTACATTAACGGATCAATATACAAAATTTATTTGACCATCTCAATAAATACCAGAACATTAACTGCTATGATGACACTCCACACAAGAGCAGCAAGAACCTATGCCACAAACGCTTACACTGACTTAATAACCTCAAACTTAGGAAGTCCTAAGCAAGGCTCAAAATCCAGAAGCCATTAAATAAAAGATTCACTCATTGTACTGCGTTTTAAAAATGTGCAGGGCTAAAAATATGGGTGTGTACCACACCTACAAATGGTATTAAGAACAGGAGGAACTGTGGAGGAGAGGTCTGAGTGAGAGGGGTGTATGGGAATTTCGTATTGTTCTTTGAACTTCTTTAATCTTAAAATTGCTCTAAGAAGGCCAGGAGTTTAGCTCAGGGGCTGAGGGCTTGTCTAACATGCACAAAACCATGATTCTCATCATGAACATACATACATGCATGAATGCTTGCATGCATACACACAACTAAGAAATAAAGTCTAATATATGTGTGTGTAATGTGTGTTGTGTGTGTTTTTTAATATGGGAACAAAAATGAATGAACTAGAACAGTGTAACACATTTGATTCAAAAGGCTTCATACCTTAACATGTACAAAAATCAAACAAATGATTAAAGAACAAGACAACCTAATTGAAAAATTAAGGAGATACAGATAAACAGCTCACAGCAAAAGAAATATTAATCATTTCTCAATAATACCTATATACATTGAGGGAGATGTGAATTAAATCGCATTATCAATTTTAGGCTAACAAATTGGCAAATATAAAGTTTGATGACACAAGGGTGTGGGAAAATAGGCCTCTTATGTGTCACATCTCGTGAAACTATTACCAGGAACCTGAGTTCTTTTAAGAAATTTGACAATATGGCTACAAAATGGAAAAGTATCATATTCTTCAGTTACTAAGTTTATTTTTAGGAGTTTACATATAGAAATGCTCACAAATGAGTACAAATGTTTGTCTGTGATGGTATTTGCTCCAGGTTGTTTACAGTAAAGAAAGACTAGAAGCTGCCTAAATGGCCATCCAAAGATTAAAGAACTATATTACATACCAGAAAGCCACATTTTGTTAAAAAGTAGATTTGAAAGTAACCTTGGCAAGTGGCAAGAACTTGGGTTCAATCCCTTGTACTGCATGCTACACTGGCCCTGGGACTGCAGGTGCACTGTACCAGCTCTAAAACCAGGTGTGGTTGTACATGCCAGTAATCCCAGCACTGGGGAGGCTGAGACAGGAGGATCACTATGAGTCTAATGTGTGTAGTAAGACCCCATATCAGAGAGAGAGAAAGAGACAGAGAGAGAAAGAGAGAGAGAGATCAATGTGGTAGGATACATTCATGTGCATAGTTGGTGCAGGAGTGTGAAAAAGCAACAATGGAATGGTGTCTACCATGGTGTTTGTTCAGAGAGAGAGAGAGAGAGAGAGAGAGAGAGAGAGAGAGAGTGTGTGTGTGTGTGTGCGTGTGTGTGTGTGTGTGTGTGTGTAAGCAACAAACCAAGAGACAGACACATACCCTACTTGAGACAGATGCACACAACTATATTATGAGTTAGCCCTGGGACAGAGAATGAGGATGAAGAGCCCTGGGACAGAGAATGAGGATGAAGAAACCCCAAGAAATTGTTTTGACTGTCTTTATTTTCTTGGAAAATATTGGCAAGTATATATACTTAAAAATATTTCAAGGCCAACAAATATAGAGAATAGACTATAAGAAAACATGCTTAACTAGATAAACAGATAAAAGTTACCCATCGGAAATCTGCACCAAAAGTCAAGTTACTTTATGTTCCTTACACATTAAAAGCAGCTCTCTGTTACATTCAGAAATAAAACATGCCCTAGCTGTGCTGGTGGTAAAATTGTACCCCGTCCTGTCCAGTGCAATCCGAGGAAGAAGGAAGCATAAATGTTAGAAATGATACAAAATTCTCACTTTTGTAATTGCATTAATGATTTGTATAAAAATTCACAAAAGAATCAAATGAAAAACTATTAAAACTTTACTTTTATTAGAATATTTATTAGAAATTTAGCCAATACAAGCAATACAAGAACAAATAAAATATTCAAATACAGAAATCAACAGCTTTCTTACACATTAGTCAATGCAATTTAACAGTGCAACTTAAGAATATAACATTCAGAACAACCACAAACTTTTGAAGTGTGCTTAAGTAGGCACTAAAGACGTCAGGCCTATATGAGGAAAGTAGTATACTTTACAAAGTATATAAAATAAGAGTACAGTCAGTGGGGAGCTATACCACAGTATAGAGTAATTTTTCCATAAATTAAAATCTGAAGTTGGTAAAAATCTTACCAAATTGGCAATGGTTTGTTGTTTTTTTTTTTTTAACTTGGTGAGATTATTCTCAAATTCAAACATAGGAAATATATCCCAAAGCAAACAGGAAACTTTGATGTACAGTTATGACAATTCTGCTCAGGGAATGAAGGAGAGAGACATGGCCACCATATGGAAAAAAGACATTCCATTTCACTGTAGTTAGAAAAATGGAAAATAAGAAATAACAAGATAATTTGTTTTGTCCTTACATGTTCTTAAACATCCCAAAGAGAATGTGAGGGCAAAAAAACCCAGAAACTCAGATACAGTTGTGAGAAGCTTACTCTGCCTACTCTTTCAAAGGCAGGTTGGCTGGGAGTTCACCTGCTGACCTGTCCAACTCAGCTCAAAGTACACTTTCAGGGTCCACCCCTGGGGACGCGTCAACGTGCACCCACAAGCTGGTTTAGCATGTTCATGTGGCACTGTGCCTGGCTCAGAAGTTATTAATAATTCAAATGTCTACTAACAATAAAAGAAGTCTTTACAATGCAGTGCATCCGTATTTGGTAAGATACTATAGCCGTTTAAAAATAACACCACTGGGGCCAGGGAGATGGCTCAGTAGGATAAGTGCTTGACTGGCAAACACAAGGATCTGAGTTCAATCCCCGGTTCCGCAAAAAAAAAAAAAAAAAGAAAGAAAGAAAGAAATCTAAGTTCCTAATTTAATATCAAAACAATGTTATAGGATGCATATACTGTGAGCCACAGTTTGTGCTTAAATTTTTATATATTTATGCATATGCATTATGATTGTAAATGCACAGAGTAAAAACAGATGATTAACTTTTGAGGAATAGGGCTGGAGAGATGGCTCAGTGGTCTAAAGCACCTACTTGGAACAAGCTTGGCAAAGCACAAGGACTGTGGTTCGATCCCCCAGCACCACATGCCAGCCAGCCCCACCCCCTGGTGGGCTGAGCTGGCCACACACACACACACACACACACAATAAATAATTTAAAAAAAATTAAAAAAAAAACTTTTGAGGAATAAGATATGTGATATGACCAAGGGGGCTTATGCTTTCTGTACAGGTGTTTGAAATTTCAAAGTGAAAATATAGCCATACACAAAGTATGCAATTTTAAAAACTCCCTGAAATGTAAATGTGACAATCTTAAAAGTTTATACACGTGTAGTTTCACATATATTTATTTTATAAAGATTTAATGTTTTTCAATCTTATTAAAAATAATAGAAGTATTTTGGAAATTAAATGGAAATGCTAGGTCAAAAAAATACATACTTTTAGAATGTCAGAGGAAATGGTAATACTGTAAAACATCAAGATTCTCCCAGGAGGATCAAAAGTTCTGAGGAGATACAGAACTTTTCGTCAGTAGGGAACCTTACTCTGGCTTCATATAGCTTTGAGCAGCAGGTCTGAAGTTGTCCCATACCTGGTTATAAGATTTTGGAAAATGTCTCAAGTTTGGTGCTATTGTGGCCTCCTTGTAGACATAGTCTATTTGGTTACTTGAAAGGCCATCGAGATAAGACGGAATGAAGTCGCATGCCCAAAGATTGAAATTTCTAGAAACATGCTGTCCTTTTTCTGGGGAGATCTTCTTACGCCCCAGGCCCTGGGAAAGAATCACAAGATTAGTGGAAGAAATGTGCACAGTCAAATCGTTTTTGAGGTTTTCCACTAAAAGCAGCTACTTGATGAACATGTGTTTAAATGCACCCTGTGACGACTGTTCAAGAAGCCTCCTTCAACAACCTGTTGGATACCATCAATCAACACAATACCCTGCTAGTGTCTTGTAACTGTTTTGCATCTTTCTGTGCTACTAGGGGGACTGGATTTTAGAGACATGAAAGTCCAAACCAGACAGAGTCTGGCTGGAAATAAACTGCTAACCGGCCTCAAAGCCCAAGGACCAGGGAGTTTTCCTGCACCCCAGTAATCCTCAGGACCCTCCCTGGCTGCCTTCTGAGCACCTGTGTGGGACCAATGGCTTTCTCTCCAAAGCCAGGAGGCTACATTCTCTTCAGGGGGTTCCCCAGAAGGAAGCAGGACCTGTGGTCTCTGCCTACAGGCTTGCTTGCTAACTCTTGGCACGTTGTATATGAACCTGAGCATTACAGAGTATTCAAAATTGTGTATTTGACTTCATCATAACTAGGTGGAAATCAAGAAAGACATCTAGGATTGAAAGGAAATCGCTGCTGGATTATGAAAATTATATGTCAGCGAGGTGAAGCTGTCTGTTCCCAAGGGCCTATATCAGTGAGGTTCACACCAGAACCTCAACAGATCATTTAAATTTGGGTCATTGGAGAAGTGGTCAAAAAAGGACAGCAGATGGCATATCTTTGGGTTCTACCACTATTCATTGAACCAACCTCAGCTTCAACTGTTGATGGAAAATATTTTTAATTGCATCTGTCCTAAATGTATACAGACTTTTTCTTGTCATTATTCTCTAAATACAGTCTAACAATTATTTACTTGAATTTATGTTGTATGAGATAATGCAACAGTCACCCAGAGATAACTTACAGTGCATAGCAATGCTGAGGAACATTTCAGAACTTTCAATGATACCAACCGCCAGCTGCGGCACACACACCATAGGTTCTCTACCGCTGCTAGACAGGATGGTGTCCACGGTTATGCACAAACACTACACTATTTATACAAGGGACTTGAACATGTGCTGGATTTTACATTGTTGGAGTCCTGCATCTTATCCCTATGGATTTTGGTTGGGGGACTGTAGTGTCTACAGACACATGGGTAGCACGGAGGGAAGCCCACAGGGGCAGTGCAGTGGCTCTGATGCAGTCAACACAGATCAGCCTGAGGACCAGAGAAGGGAGCCCAAGGGGGAGGTAGCTTTGGAGGGACAAACAGAAGACACTGGACACATAGTCCCAACACCCTTCTAAAAAAAGTTTTATCAAAGATATTCCTACAAAATGAAGAAGAAATAAAAGGAAGGACAAAGGGTATGTGTTATGGTTTGTGTCTAGTTGTTCCCCCAAAGCCTTATGCAGTAATGGGTTGGGGACTTCTAGAGTTTGTGATTAACTCATGATCCACTGGGATTATGTGTGATCCAAGGCTGGGATTATGGATTTTAGTACTGCTGGGATTATGGGTGTGAGTACTTCCCCTAGCCTGGGGCAGAGAGCTGGAATGTAATATAAGAGACAGGGAGACAGACTTTCGGTAGCCCTTGCTCCTTGTTGTTGCTGCTGTTCAGCCGCCATGAAAGGTTGCTCTCTGCCAAGTGCAGCTCTGCCTTGGAGCCAGCTGAATATGGACTGAGACCTCCAGTAACTGTGAGCTAAATAAACCTTTCCTTCCTTCATTTTGGGTGTCGGATATTTTTCCCAGCAAGGAGAGAAGAGTAGCTGAGACAGCATGAGGAGGTGGCAGTTGCAAGGAAAGAAGTAATAAGCACTACAGTTAAGTCTAAATACTGTTTCAACATAGGACGATGAAATGTATTGGACTTTTAGGAATTCACAAAAGAAAGGAGGAGGGGAAGAAATGGGGAAGAAGAAGGCGAGAGAGAGCGGGGCGGGGAAGGGGGTGGGGGAGAGGAAGTAACAATTTGCAGGATTTTATCCTGCCTGAGGAAACTAGGCACACTGTTCTAAACTCGGGTCAAAGCCCAAGGTGGCCACTCCAGGAGCTGGAAGGACACAGCCAGGGCCACCAACACAGCAGCGCTGGGAAAGGAAGCGCAGAGGTAAAGCACCAGAAAGGCTTGTCTAATCCTTGGGGGAAAACGAAAGATCATTAATGTTTATACTCAAAGAGTCACGTGGTCCTGTAGTGGATTGTAGCAGGGTGTCTCCCGAGAGCCTCCTGCACGCAGAGGTGGGGCTCTTGGAAGATATGTGGACAACGGGCATTACTGCTGCTTTGCTGTCTGGTCAGAAGAGCAGGGAAGTGCTTCTCCCGCCCTCCCTGCGCCCTCCTCTCTCTACTGCCTGACTGCCATGCCGCGAGCAACTTCCTCCGACAGCCCCTTCACCAGGCCTTCCTCCTTGGAGCCGGCCAACCGTGACCTGAACATGTCAGCTAAACTGAACCTCTCCTTCGTTAGGTTGGGGGGGTGGGGCAGGCATTGTGTCTCCGCAGTGCAAAAATGACCAAGACAGGTGTTAACACGCTTCTTCAACATTGACGCTGCAGCCGCGGGGGTGGCTCAGCAGCATGAGGGCTTGCTGCAAGCCCGCAGTCCTGAGTTCCAGCCCGGATACCGAAACAAAAACGAAAACAAGAAAACAAACAAAAAAACATTTATACTTAGGATTAAGTACTAGTAGGATACCAGAGCAAGTCAGAGGGAGCAAGTAAATCCAACCAGTCTAACCAAGTCAGGAGAGGGAGACTAAAGCAAAAAAATATAGTCATTATCAGAGATAGCAGAAATAAAACCAAAATCATAAATAACGTATATGGGGTAAATTCTTATATAAAGAAACAATGGTTTTTAGATTAAAAAAAAAAAAAAACAAGTAATAGTCCATTTATTTATAGAAGACAGACCCAAACCAAAATGACTAAGAATCATGAAGACAAAGGAATATAAAACACAAGTATAAAGAACAAATGTTAGGGGCTGAAGAGATGGCTCAGTGGAATAAGCGCTTCCCTGGCAAGCGCAAGGGCCTGAGTTCAATCCCCAGTTCCGCCAAAAAAAAAAAAAAAAAGAACAAATGTTAACACAAAAGAAATCGCAGCAGCAATGCTAGCAGTGTACAATTCATGGGTAAAATCATTAAAATATAGAATGAGGGGACATTTCAAGTGGGGTGAGGTGGCGTGACCTGTACATCCAGCGCTCCGGGAGACTGAGGCAGGAGATTGGAAGTTAAGTCCATCTGGGCAGCTTAGTGACTTACTGACAGCTTGCCTTAGTATTAAAACATGGTGAATTTTTGTCTAGAAAGAGGCAAAACCCAAAAACACTAAAAAAATTCAAGGATAACCTTAGGCAGAAATTTGCAGGCTAAGATAAAAATAAAGAGAAAAATATGAAATATTTTCTGAATTAATAAAGATCTTTGTAATGAAATGAGGGAAATTTATATTCTCTTTTTCGCTTTAGCATGGGAAATTGAACTCAGAGTTGTTCTACCTCTGAGCTGCGTCCCAGACCATTTTATCATTTTATTTTGAGACAGGGACTTACGAAATGGCCTGTACTATCCCTGAAGTGATGATCTTCCTGCCTCATCCTCCTGAGTAGCTGGAACTACAGGTATGCACACCACACCCAGCTAGAAACATATATTTCTCTTACACACCAATGAAACATGTTTAAATTCTTCACATACAAGACTCTATAATCAAAAAGTCTAAATCACAGATTATACTCTATAAAACTTACTGTGATGCATACAATTAGATATTAGGAGCAGAGAGACTGCCTAAAAAATTCTACCAAGCAGAAAATTCAAAATAGCAATCTAAATTTTTGCAGTTAAAAGGGAAATTAAAAACAATATCACAGACTATTTGGAAGCAAATAATTATGAGAACTTAATTAGAAAAATCTTTGAAATGTAGCTAGAGCAATAATCTGAAAAAAATTAATGGTTTCAATGTATTAACAAAATTACAAATATTTATACTAAATGTTCAATTAAAAAGATTTACATGAACAGAAAAAATAAGTATTCAAAAATATACTATAAATTTGAAATGAACTGGATAAATTTTAAGCAAATATATTAGCAAAATCTACACAAAAGGAGATATGGCATTTGAATAAGTTAATAAGGGAGAAATGGTAAAGTAATAAAAATTTAGCTCATAAAAATATGTATCAAATCAAGTGTGGTGGTGCATGCCTGTGAACCTAACACATAAGAGGGTGAAGCTGGATTACCACTAGTTCGAGACAAGCTGGGTCTACACAGTGGGTTCAGAGCCAGCCTAAACTGCATAGTGGGACCCTGTCTCAAAAAAGAAAGAGAAAGAAAGAAACAAAGAAACAAAGAAAAGAAAAGAAGAAAGAAAGAAGAAAAAGGGTCAAATCTAACTAATTTCATGGGATAATTTTATCTAACCTTCATTAAACTGAAAATCTGAATGTTATATAAATTCCCAAGTCACAGAGAAAGTTGAAAGACTTTTTAAAAATATCTTTTATTTATTTGGTCCAGCATCTCACTATGCAGCTCGGACTCTGTCTTAGCCTCCCCAAAACTGGGATTACAGATGTGTGCCACCACACCCAGTTTTGACCAGGGATAGAACCTGGGTCCTTGCACTTGCCAAGCAGGCCCTTAGACCACCAAGCTATCTTCCCAGCCCCAAAAGTTGAAAAACTTGCAATGCTTTCTATGAGACCATCACAATTGTGGTAAAACACTTGTGGTACAATCCTGTTCGTACCTTGACAAAATAGACATTTCTGCCTGGTGTGGTGGCAAATACCTCAGTCCTAGCTACTCAGAAGGGTGAAGTGGAGGACTGAAAATTCGAGGACAGCAACTTAGCAAGACCCTGTCTCAAAATAAAGAGACTTAAAGGGCTGGAGATACTACTCAGTGGTAAAGTGCTTGCCTACCGTGTGTAAAGCTTGATATATATATCAAGAATTTTCCAATTTTGCCTGCCAAAGCATTATTACTAGTGAGCCATCAAAGTGAAATCATGATGAAGGCAAATAAGGGTTCAAATTTTATTCTTGACTTTATATAATTTCATATTATTTGATTTTTTTAAAAGACATATGCAACTTTGGTAATTTAGAAAACAGCATTAGACATTCTATTTAGGGAGGCAGGTAGAGAGGATGTTCTGGTTCTGTAGGCCATGCTCTGCCAGGGGAAATCCAGATTACAATGATGATGATGATGATGATGATGATGATGATGATGATGATGATGAGTACTGGTTAAATGAATTAAATTTTGTTAGGGCTTTGTAACCTAGCACAAAGTGCTATGTTGGGAAAGTTGTTTACTCTCAGCTTCATCGATTGCTTGGGGAGATGTTAAATGAGATGATACAACAGATGATTAATAATTCATGGGTATTACCAACACCATCGCCACCATCATCATTATCACCTGGCTTTTGGGTTTGGAACGGGTACTCAGAGCTCACCTTCACCTAAGGTGTGTTAACTCTGCCGCATGCTGTCTGGTAGCTGCTTGCCATGAAAGCAACTGAGAGCCTGAATAGCCACACAAACTGGATTTTAAAGATTTAGTTTGGAAAAAGGAATGTAAACTATTATATGAATAGTGTTTCTACTGATTACATACCGATGTGATAATTTGGGCAAATATGAATAAAATGTATAAATTGCTCTGCCTTACTAATATACTCATTGCAACTTGAAAAATCCCTAAGTCAGAAATGCAGGGCTGGCCAAATAGCTCAGCAGACTAAAGTACCTATTTGGGCAGAGTGCAATGACCGGGGTTCAATCCCTGGCAGGTGCCGTGCTGGCCTCGCCCCAGGGGCATGTTGAGACAGTGATTGAGACTGGGCGTGGTGGAGCACGCCTGTGATCCCAGCACTTAGGAGGCTGAAAACAGGAGGATCACTACGAGTCCAATCTACATAGTGAGACCCTGTAGTCCCTGTAGACTCTGTCCTAATTTTTTTTTAAATGCAACTAATATACCAAACCTTGTGAGCATCCTGGCTTAGCAACATAATACACTGCAGAGTACTGGATGTTTCCTCTGTGATCATGTGGCTGGCCAGGAGGTGTGGCTTCTTGCCCTTGGCCAGGATTGCACTAGAAGATGGTACTACATGTCTTGTACCACATATAGATAGTTCAGGAACAAGAAAAAGCTTCAAAATTTGAAGTACTATTTCTACTGAATGCCTATGGCTTTTATACTATCATGAGGTCAAAAAGTTGTACATCAAACCATCATAAGTAGAAGACCATCTGTATTATTAATTTCACTTGTTTCTTTTTCTCTAAAGTAGCTACTAGAGGAGCTGGTGAGATGGCTCAGTGGTCTAAAGCACCTACTTAGAACAAGCTCAACAAAGCACAGGGACCGCGGTTCAATCCCCCAGCACCACATGCCAGCCAGCCCCACGCCCTGGTGGGCTGAGCTGGCCGCACACACACACACAAATAAACAAATAAATAAATAAAAATAAAGTCACTACTAGAGAGTTTCCAATTACATTTGCAGCCTGCACTGTGTTTCCCTATAATGCTATGCTTAGCACACCTCTAACAAGTGCGCTCAGACGCTACGACCCCCATGATGGGGAACTCACCACCTCTAGAAAAAAGGCAGCCACAGTGATTACTAAGTCCTTCCTTATGTTGCACAAGCTCCCCCTCTTCTAGCCCCTCCTTGGGGGTCCTGGCCCAGGAGAACATTTATAGCAATGACTTTGAGAAGCCTGTACATAGAGGCGGAAGGCTGGTGCAGACTGGAAGGTTGTGCGGACACCTGACTGGTTCAAGAGTGGGCGTTATTGTTATTGTTCTGTAACTTGTTATAAGTCTTGCTTTTTGAGCTTTCATTTTATTTGGGTGACCTTCTTTTGAAGGTCCTCAACAGGCAGAAACAAGAACCCTGCTCCTGCTCCCCATTTTGTCAGTAATTTAAGAAAACTACTCACAGAGTCAAGATAGCATCCAGAGTTTTCCAAAGTGTGGCGATTGTCATGCACAGAGAAGGGGAAGTTGTTACTTACTGCTTGCTGCAGAAAATGAGAAGGGGGGCTGGTGAGATGGCTCAGTGGTCTAAAGCACCTACTTAGAACAAGCTTAGCAAAGCACAGGGACCGCGGTTCAATCCCCCAGCACCTCATGCCAGCCAGCCCTGCCCCCTGGTGGGCTGAGCTGCCCCCCGCACACAAATAAATAAATAAAATTGAAAAAAAAAAAAAGAAAAAGAAAATGAGAAGGGGATGAGGACACGCACATTAGAACTCTGGGAGACTCTTAGACCTGAAGTGCAGCAACCCAGCGAGAAGATGGTGGGGCAAAGTGACTTCTCATTCAGACAGTCATGCACAGGACGTGGTCGTGGGGTGTGTGTGTCTGCTCAGAGCTTTGAAAGTCAACCTAGTTGACAACAGTTATGGTGTAAGCGGTACCCCCAACCTCATGTGTTTGGAAGGGGATTGATTTATGGGGGCTTATAGATGATGGCTGTTGGTATGTGGTTCTAGCTGGGCCGCTAGCTGTGTGACCCAGAAAGGTTTATCTCTTCTCCAGATACTCCCCTCATTCACCCTGGTTCCTGTCCACTATCCACTCTACTGACCTGCCGTGGCACCCTCTCTTGTAGTCAGCTGTATATATACTGAAACCATTATGAACTGTGAGAGAGTATCAACCTCTTCTCTAAATTTTGAGTGTCAGTTACTCTGATCCAGATACAAAGGGAAGTAACTAAACACCAACTTTCTGAAAAGCATAAAAATTCTCTTCCAGAAGACCTCCTTTGTAGGCCAGGATGGAAAAATGTGCAGGCTTCCAGAAGCTGAAAAGGACTGTTGAAGCCATCGAGCCAATTTCTTTGTCTGAGCAATAAGGATCTGGGACACCCGTGTCTCAGCCCAGGTCCCAGGGTGAGCCTGGTTGAGATCTGCACCTGCTCCTCCATCACACCACTGCAGTGCCCGTGACGTTCACCATGAACTGGGGCAGGAGGCAGGATGTGGACTCACTCCAGTGACTTGAGTGGAACATTCCAAGGTTCCCATAAGGGAGCCTCCCTTATTGTCCAGACCAGACAGGGCTTCTGCAGAATGTTACAGGGACCTGTTACAAGGACCTGCAAATAAAGTAGATGCCACCAGGGTTGCTAAGTGAGAGGTTCCTTTAGAAGAAGCACTGTCTGGTCAAAATGCCAGAGTCCTAATCCCCTGGGACAGCCATGGAATTTGCAATGGAGGTCATGGTCCTGGACTCACCTTCTCCCGGACTTTGAATATTGGTGGCAGCTTCTTCTCTGTTTGCTGAATCAACTTTGGACAATAAGACTCTTTTAACACAGAACTCATGAGGGATTCTGGTGTCTTTTGTGTAAGTCCAATATGAGGGAACTGGAAAAACAGCACATGTCTTGATTAAAACCAGAAAGTTTGAATATATAAGCCAAGTATCAGTGCTTCCTCTAGAAAGGGATTGAAGTACAAATTTTGTGCCTCTGGCATGCAATGGAAGTGGTGCAATTTTTGTAATTTTCAAATATTCTTTCTAAGACAAAAACATTATAATGGCCCAGAGCCATCACCACGGCTGTTTTAAGTTGCAGGGGCCACCCCTGCTACACAACAGCCTGGAAAAGCATCCACAGCCTGGGGAGGATGGCCTAGTTCTCTGAGACTGTGGGACATACACATAGTAAGAGAAGACAGAAATGTATTCTCTGAGGTCTGTCTCTGGTCAGGGAACTCCTGGTACTTGGTGCCTAGGATCCAACCTGACTCATGGACTAGGCCAAGCTTGAGCAATGTTGGCATGAGGCGAGCCCTAAGACTTGGTAAAAGTGGGGATCCATTCACTGTCCACTGAGAAGGTAGGGTGGTAGAGGCTCCAGGGGGTCTGTGAAGAGAAAAAGAAAGAGTAGGAGAAAATGAAGCATGAACTGGGAGGACAAAGAAGATTTGGGGTATCCTTGGGATCTCCCTATAAAAGGAAAGGAGGAAAATGGGTGTGTAAAAAGAAGGTAAATGATCAGGCACTCAGCTGACCTTCTGAGGAGCTCAGGGTATGGGGTGGGCCCCCCAGAGTTGCTCTGAGTTGATGTGAGGGCGTCTGGCCTTGTGTTCCAGACTGGGGTCAGGTGGACTCTGGGGCTGCCCTCAGAAGAGGATGAAACCCTGGAGAGACAGCTGTCTTCAGTCATGAGGCCCCTGGGGTGGACAGTGAGGGTCATGCTCCTAGTTTCTGATGCAATGAAGCCTTCATTCCTGAGGGTAGTTATACCTGGCACTAAGTGGCCACAGTAGCTCACCCTAATTTTATTTGAATGGTGCCTCTAAAACACCACTCCAGAAAAGTGAGTTTTTGAGTAGCGTCTCTAGGAGAAAACAAGTAGAAACTAAAGCCAATGAAAGAGAAGACCAAGTTTTGGTAAAGGTTTTTACAAAGAAAGAAGAAAGCATCACATTGTGGTTGGGACCCAGGCTGCAGACTCAGAGGTCCTGAGTCCAAGCTCAGTTCTCTCCTGCTAGCTGATTTTTTCTTTCTTTCTTTCTTTCTTTCTTTCTTTCTTTCTTTCTTTCTTTCTTTCTTTCTTTCTTTCTTTCTTTTTCTTTCTTTCTTTCTCTTTCTTTCTTTCTTTCTTTCTTTCTTTCTTTCTTTCTTTCTTTCTTTCTTTCTTCTTTTTTTCTCAGTGGTCAGATGGAAAAGGGTTCAAATGTGCTTTCATCAAAGCAGTACAGCGATTCCGGAGAATTGTCATCATTTCACAACAGGCGGATTGTATGCAAGAGACTCAACCTTCCAAAGCCTCAGCTTTCTCGCCCATAAAATGGGAATGATCGTATCTACTTGATAAGATAGACATTTTTATTAAAAGAAGAAAGTGCTCAGCCATTATTGGCAGGTTCTCTTTGCTTTGCTTAGCCTTGTCTCCAAGCCTGCTGCATCACTCTTTCCTTCTCCTTTAGTGTAGTGACACTGGTCAACTCCAGGATTTTTCTCTCCATTCTTCCTCAAGTCAAAACACAAGTGCACAGTGCCGGGGAGATAGCTCAGCAGACTAAGTGCCTGCTTAGGCAAGCACGGCGACCAGGGTTTGATCCCCAGCACCACATTCCACACTGGCCCCACCCCTGGGCACACTGAGCCAGCGACCGAGTCCAGGCGTGGTGGTGCACGCCTGTAATCCCAGAGCTGGGGAGGCTGAAAACAGGAGGATCACTCTGAGTCAGAGCTATGTAGTGAGACCCTGTACCAGATACATAAAAAACAAACAAATAAACAATGCAAGTGCACATTCAGATGGCTTTTCACAAATGTCTAAACCAGAGTGTATTCAGTAGACACAGAAGGGCCAGGGGATTATGTTATAAGTGTTATAAATGTAGGGGTTTCACTGCAGCTGTGAGAAGCAATAAGCTAGATGACACACAACAATGGGTAGATTTTGTAAATGCATTGCAGAGCAAAGAAAGAAATAGAAAGAGATGTATAACCCAGCACCATTTATGGGAATAAATAACCCATAAATGCAAAACAATACATAATTTACAAGAACACATCTAAGTCAAAGAACTATTAAACACATTTGAATGGCTGCCTGGGGTGAAGAGAAGAGAGATGGGAATTAAGGGCAAAGAAACCACCTCAAAAGCTCACATGCCTTCATGTGTACAGGCTCCCTGGAGGACACGGGAAACTGGCCACAGGGCCCTCCAGCGAGGGGCACAGAGAAGGAAGAACTTTCTTTCCATGACTACTTTGTTCCACTTAAATGTTTCTTCACTAAGTGTGGACATTACATTGTAGTTTTTTTTCCACAACAGAAATAAATGCATTTGTTTCTGATGAGAGTTGTAATATATACTCTTGGTTTCTAAAAATGTGCATAAAAACAAAAAATCTAAGGAAAGAAATAAACTGCCTCTGAATCCTTCCATCCTTCCTCCTTAACTTGGAGAGCAACCCTTCATACTTCCCTATAGAAATGCCCGTCCTTACATATGGGTAATTGTGCATGCGTGATCCAATATCAAAGAGAATATAATGTATTACCTGAATACTACTGGCATATTATATTGTCAGTGCAATTTCTAAAAATTGAGGACCTTTGTATTTGTCAGTAATTTTGGTTGTCTTTTGTGTCTCCCTCTTGTCACCCTCACTTGTGCACCCTAGATAACATTTCTAA